CCTTCAGTGGAATATTTGCTTGTGGAATTTCAACTGGCTTTTGAAAGCGTGGACTCTTCCAAAAGAAAAGAATCTTAGATCAAATTGCTTTCAGAAGCTTTTACGGTTGCCAAGGGATGTTTGATCAGTGTGAGACCATCCGGAGACATCCATGCTGATAAAATGTGCCCGACTTCACTACAACCACCTGTCTATCTAAGGTTTGTGAATGCATCGGCACGTGTTTAAAATGTTTCGTAGACGGTGAGTATATTTAGAAGTTTCATGAAACCATTTGCTAAGTCTAGAAGAATCAACCGTACAAAAGTAAAAGCGGATGAACAGCTGTCAAGTTGGCTTTTTGAACGTGTTGGCCAAGAATAATGAGATCAAAAGCGAAAAAACCGTATCGAAAACTTGCAGGACTTTCACCCAAGTCTTGCTGCTCTGAATTAAATTTTTATTAAAAATATTGTTAAGAGTATGAGACTTAGGGCTCTTGCGGTTCGAATCGGGTTCTGGCCACCAGGCAGAAATTTAACATCTGCAAATTTTCCTATGAAAAATAGCGGCAGTAGAGCACTTATTGAATCCCTTCCTTAATGCTGAAAATAAGCCCAAAAATAAAGTAACCCCACCCCATTAATACACGTTATTTTTAAACTTTCTGACAAAATTGAACGGTACGTGGAGATGAAGGCTTTCGGATTCACTACAAAATGGCGGTTTCCTGGGACTGTAGATCTACCCGACACTTCATCAACCAAAAATGACAAATAAGATGAACGTGGAATGCGGTTCTTGGGATACAGCGCATCGACTGTGATAAGATCTGTATTAATAAAACAATCGGAGGATCGATAAAAAATTGCGGAACACGAAGCAACTCTGAGGAATTGAAAAAATTGAACATTCTGCCGTTGTTTCTCATACTCTCTATTGCTTCAGTTTGACGAGGATGTCAGTTCAGTTGATGAGGAGATACCAAACTCCTTGATATTAATTATAGGTCATTAGAGTTGTTCGCTGACGAATGCCGACTGTGTAGCAGATGTACAAGCTGATTCAGTATGACACATACCTGAGACATCGCGTGGCAGCTTTCTCAAGGGAATCAATGAAACATGTGGCAGTCATTCATCTCTTACTCAAGTGTTTTTCTATAATATCGTTTTGTTTCATTTGCATATTATAATCCTGACGATGACGCTGTGTACGGCATAGAAACGAGTCGGACAATACAGGATTCGACATAGTGACATTTCTCTGCTGCATTCAACTACAGGTAGGGACCCTAAGACCATAAATTGTTATTCGAACACGCAATGAAACATAACTCCTCCCATGCCAATTCAACAGGGGAACGTTATTCTTCCCGACGATGCCAAAACACAGCTGGTAGCTACGGAAGCCAGAGTCCCGGTGTTATTTTTCTTACGACAAGAAATTTTTTCTTCCTTTGGTCAGTGTCTTCAGGAACCGGATTCACAGCAGTATGTCACTGTGCTGCGCGCTGACCGTTCCATCGTTTCTTTTCCACTAGTGTACGTCAAAAGGATCACGATCCTCATGCCTTGCTATCCGTCAGCCATGCGACACCTCCAAAAACGTCCAATTACAATTAGCAGCTCTTTATCGATCAATGACTTCGATGTGCTAAGGCGAGTTTGGCGAGGGTTACAAGCATCTGAGACAGATTTTGCCTTTTATTCTCCAGACCAACAGGATGGCAGTGATTGTTCAGACACGTGCTGGTAATGTTCCGAGGAAATTTCTCATGACAGATGCCGTTTGTGAATTCACAACCGGAAGGAGCGCCGAGTAAAAAGCATGTGGAAAAATCGGTGTTTTTGCATCAATAATCAAAAGAGAGTAATAGCCTTAGAGAAGAGGGATAACATAGATGACAAATGGACGGACAAACTGTTAGCTTGACTGAGTGACACCCAAGAGGACTGATAGATGGACAGATAAATAAATATATAGCAGCATAGACGGCCAGGGCGGCAGATACAGAGATTTGCAGAGAGATAAGTGGACAGATAGACGGATAGACAGACGCATGTGCATAGACGCTTTCGCTGCTGTTTTAATCATGTGGAAATAAAATTAAAAACGGTATTAGGTAGATTAAATGTCATGCGAAAGTGCCTTGTTCATCAGGGTTCTCCCTTTCGGTTGTACTTCTTGCACGTCGCTTCCCTTAACCTGATGTCGTTCAATCTTATAAGAGTACTACTTGAAATTAGTCGCTGCATTTTATATCATGATTTAGTCTCAGGTGATTGGCTCGACTGCATACTGCATTGTTGCTATTAGTCTCGCATCCTCTGAGGCCGCTTTCTCGACAAGTTTCGTGACATTTCGAAGGCGACGGATTGAACAGCGACGGCGACGTCAACTTCACCAATCCAGCGATTAAACCGTACCGTATGTTGAGGGAGTGTAGAAATTTCAACCTCTACCTTGACCCCGTTCACGTGTTAGCCATCGTCCCTGACCGGTTGTCACTGTGATGCAGCAACGGCGTAAAAACCTCTCGCCCGTTACGCCGTCACTGCATACGTTTGAGTTTCTGATTTTTCATTCTACACATAACACGTGATTGGCGAAGTATAAGAGTCAAGGTAAAGCGGGAAGCCGCACCAATTAAACAAGTCAGCAATTCTTCGGCGGTTAGCTGTGCCGCCAGATCGAAGAGGGCTATCTGTGGCAAGCAGTGCTTACCAGCTGTCAATGCAAGGCTTGGGAACGGAGTCGATGGCCCCTTTCTTGGAGGGGGTCTCGGTCATGAAACATTGCTCGCCTCATCGCATGAAGCTCGACGCGAAACACTTGGAAGACAAAGTCGTGGCGTTGTTCTTCTCCGCCGGATGGTACAAGCCGTGCAGGGATTTCTCAAATGCTTTTAAGGTATGATCTGTCATCCTCATTTGCTATGCGGACACAAATCTAAAAACAGTGAACAATAGATTCTGCTAAACGACTAATTGATATCTGTGTAAATAACTACGGGCTTCGAAAACACCCGTATGGGTATGGGTCAGATATTAGAAAAATGAAGCAAAGTGAACCCTGCACTGCAGGTGCTCAAATGCCACTCTCTGAATGTCTTTCCTCCGAGGAGGGTAAAAATTCCATGAAACACTACGCTTCGATGAGTAACTCGCTAGGATATCGTCTGATGAATCGACGAACCGAAACTTGAGCACATGGTTGAATTTCAACTCGTCGTCTTTCACCTCTTATAACACTGTATATGCCTGTGAAGTGGTCGGATCGAACTGTACGTGCTTATCTTTGTACCCTGAATTGAATGCGTCAAGGAAACGCTGAAACCTGACCCTGCTTCACTGTGTAAAGTTAAACACAAGATTCAAGGCCTTTGACAACACATTCTGCTTGTAACGGTGACTATGGAGAATACGTTCCAACGCACTATGCCGGATTCGATATCCCGAATTAACTAGTGCACTGATGCAGGAAGATATGGATTTGAAGAAAATAAAGGAAGCATGAAGAAAGTTGAGTTCTTGATCTTGACGAGTTCAAACCAACGCGTTTCGAAACGCGGAAGTTTATCATTACCAGCAGCAGCTTTTGCTCCTTCGTTGCCGACTGAAGACATTTCTAAGATTTTGCGAAAAATCTTATTCGTGCAAATTTGATTCATCTTGATCCAATGGCCTTCCTCAGTTCCTCAGCCACCACTATGGAGGTCTTCAATGGGTCGTTTATTCCGGTTTGGAACTCATATTAATGCCTCTGTGGAGTCATCAGTTATTCCTACAATCTGTCCTGCCCACTGTCACTTCCGAATTTTCACCCGTGCAATGACATAGGTGACTCGTGTTTGTGCTCTTCCTCATTTGTTGATCTTGCTATTTCCAACGTGTACGTTTTAATGCTGCATCTCTTAGTCTGCAGTTCATGAATGGATGAATAGAA